CAGTGTGACTGAGTGAGGAGGATTTGTCCCCACAACAAATCCAACAACCATAGGTGCACTAAAGTCCATGCTCAATAATCCAGGTATAAAATCCAACAATGTTCAGTCAGGTCATGTGGACAGTTTTTTTTTTTTTTGTGTGTGCTGAGACGTTTCGCCCTCCATCCGGAAGGCTTCATCAGTCTGAGGAAACACCAGACAAAACGGATATTCTCTCAACAGCCTACTTCAAAGTGGAAAAAAAACGAATGTTGGTGCTAAGATGGCCCCTAGGGCCCGCCCTCTCCAACGGTGCCCACTTTCTCCCTTGTCGACTGTCATGTCAAACTGGTTCAAAACACCAAAGTCCATGCTCTCCATCCGGAAGGCTTCATCAGTCTGAGGAAACACAAAACAAAATTGCTTCTCCCAAAACGCCCCCCAATGGAAGGTGAAAGGTCTCAGCACAAAAAAAAAGAAAGAAACTGTCCAGATGACCTAACTGAACATTGTTGGATTTTATACCTGGATTATTGAGCATGGACTTTGGTGTTTTGAACCAGTTTGACATAACTGTTGACGAAAGAGAGGGAGGGCACCGGAGGAGAGGGTGTGCCCCAGAGACCATCTTGGCACCAACATTCAGTTTTTTTTCCCCATTTGGAGTAAGCTGTTGGGGAAGAAGCAGTTTTGTTTGGTGTTTCCTCAGACTAATGAAGCCTTCTGGAAGGAGGGCGAAACATTTCAGCACACACACACAAAAAAGAAACCATCCAGATGACCTGACTGAACATTGGTGCATGCATTAGGTGATTTGGACATTGGGGCAGTTCAGATCTGCAGTAGGGTTTTGTGGAAATGTTTTTAAAAAGTAGCATTGTACTTTCTACAGATAGCGTTGTTTAAACTTGTTTGAACTTGGGTTCCAGGATTTTAGGAAGATGTGATATTATTGTTAAATGCTGAATTGTCCATATCAGTTTCAATAAACCCACATTTTACTCACTCTTCTTTATTTCTACGATCATTGCAATGCTCACAGCATCCTTTAGTGCAGCTTTAGCAGTTAACTTTAGCATTTCAGCCAAATTCTCCTGAATAAGCCGTGTGCATTTAGGCTAGTGCTCCATCTGAATGCTTGCCAAACATTTTCCTGGCATCTGGTATGGGTTTGTTATTTATTGTAATACTTTGCAAAGACTAATAGTGTGACGACAATGCATTTTTTGTGTACTGTGCAGCCCTACTTTGAACAACCACAGTTTGGGAAAAAAATGAACATTAGTTCTGACAGGATTGACGAGCTAATGGTCCGAGTTAAGCCATTACCAAAGTGAGACCTTGAGTACACAAATGCATTCCACCTCATGTACCACATGTGATGCGAATGCCAATAAAGAACCTTGAACCTTGGGTTGTTGCCATTTTAAAGCAACCTCCATCTCCAAATTTTCATAGCTCATCTTTGGAAACATACTGTACTTATAAGCACTGCTGTCATTTTCATATTATACAGTAATTCTGGCAGATATATTTTAACAATGCTTTACCGGAAGTGCTACAGCTGGCTGCTGCAGTTGTCATCTTTGATATTGTAGTTGTTTCAAATCTTCTTTGGGCTTCGTGCCACTTGTACTAGCAGTTAGCTTGTCAGTCTGGTCAGAAATAAACTCCAAACTGAGGTCGCTCAAACACCTACTGCAGGTAGTATATTTATTTTGTTTAATACAGTGCTTCATTGAGACTGAATAAACAGCCAATCTTTGGTGCCTAAAATGAAACATTATTAAATTTTCTTTTCTTTTTATTATTAGCTACTATTTGGGACTGCGGTAGCTCAGTGCATCAGTCTTGTGATCTTGAAGCTGCAGGTTCAAGTTCAGGTGACATCCGGAAAGGGATCCGGTGTAAATCATTTGCAACTATTTTGTGCAGGTTTGCTTGGTGTGGTGACCCATGCAGAAGAGAGCAGCTGGAAAAAAAAAAAAATCAGCTACTTAAAAAAAAAAAACGTCTTTCTTTGCTACATATATTAAGGCTCCGACACAGTTCATGTATCTCTGATGGAATAAGTGTTAAATTTATAGTTTTAGCCTCTTATCTCAGATTTAGTGTATCCATTTAAACACATTAAGCTGAAGAACTCCTCTATGCACTCGTCTTTTTAGCTGATTAATTCAGATTAGTGGAACCATGCATCTGTTTTATTCATGTAATCGTCACGGTGTGCTACATATGAGCATGTTAGAGGACAGAGTCCATGTATTAATGTGAATTAACTCCAAGGCTAAGCTAAAATAAAGGTCAGTGCAGGTATTTTTACAGTCATTAGCCACTTAGTATTTTTATTTTTAATACTATTTTTGTCTAAATTATTTACCGTTTTAGCCTTTTCAAATAGCCTATATGATCTTAACTGGTAAGCTGCTAATTGCACAAACACATCCCAAGTTTACTAAAAGCAAACATTTCTATTTTAATCTTGGTAAAATAATCTGCTGTTCAGAATTTCAGCGTCATTTTTAAACAAATCAAAGAGCTGCTGTTTTAGTGACGGAGTTATCCTAAAGTCGTGGTGTTTTTCTGACAATAGTCTTCTGTGACGAGTTCCTTTTTTAAAGTATATATATTTTTTATTTTCCACAAATGGTAATTCTAATCTGTACTAAAGTGCAAGTAATGACAATAATTGACAGAAGCCACCTAAAATATTAGAATTAGTCATGTTTTAAGTGCTTGTTGTGATGGTGGGGCTCAGTTCCTCAAAGCTGTCATGCACAATTTTGTGATTTTTCTTAACCAAGACATTTTCTTCAAACATTAACCACTAAGAAGTTGGATCAGTCAGGCAGTGAGTCATGCAGGCCTAGAAAAGTATTTTATGTGCAGACATTACGTGATCAGAGGATTTGATAAAGTGCACCTGATATTAAAAGGAGCAGAGCAGGATTTGGTTTTGAATATAGATTTTGGAGATACCTGTAGAGTTTGGCACACATTTGCAAATAAAAATAAAACGTAACGAACACCGTTCAAAAGTTTTCAAACCGTATAATGATGCACTGACATATAAAAGTAAAATAAAGTTTCTTAAGCCTTGAAGACTTGAATTGATAGAACATAATGAAAGCACACATGCTTAAAATAATCTTGCGAAAACAATTAAGAGTTATGGAAATCTGTCGCAAAGATAAAGAGCTTTTCTAATATTGAAATATTCAAGTCAGTTACATTTTAATGAAATTAATTTAGGTGAGGGGAAAGCATCTAATGAACAACAAACATATTTTACAAACTCAGAAATTTAAACTGCGATACAGCTGGAGTTAAACTCTTTTGGAGGAAGACGGTATCTAAAAGTTCATGGATGAATTCATTTAAATTTAAATGTGAAAACTAACACAAATAAATAAAATTTTAAAAAATCAAATCATATTATATATCCAGATATAAACTGACCTTTGTCTCTGACCCCCTGTCTTTGACAACAGAAATGAAGCTTGTGATGTCGTTGCACAGATTTTGCCGTAGATTTATGCACTAATGAGAGGCAAAGAAAGATCCCTAGAAATGATTATGAATTAAATGAGTGGCTTTAAAACACAAAAATAGCTTGCAGTTTGCCATAAAAATGAATTAATGGTGGATAAATCACTGCAACTTGAAGTTCTTTTAGAATAAAATCATTTTGCGTGAAAATATATAGCTAGCCTCTGATGAGGTGTTCGTTGATTGTTTCTCCTGCTTCATTTTTCACCTATGACTGCCAAGATAAACAACGCCAACCTTTACGAATACGTAGTGTAACAACAAAAATCTGACTATATTTAATTTCAGACTCATTTTAAATTTTTTTCTCATTTTGTGTCTGAAGTTAAATGAAACGTAACTTCGGATTAAAATTTGCAGTTGGGAACTGAAAGCCAAAAGCTCGTAAACAAAAGTTTTGCAGCAATATTTAAAGTTAAGGTCGAAGAAGAGCAACGTAAGGAGGCTGGATTTCTACTATGGTACCATGAACACCTGAAGAGATTTAGTTTTATTCTGCAAAATTCAGACGCTCGACAAAATATGCTTTCAAGAAAAAGGGACCCTAAAAGAAGTAACAGGGTTGAATTCTTCAGAGTTTTTGAGTTGGAAAGAATTTCAGACACCGCACCATTTAGTCTTGGATTATTTTATCGTTGGAAAAGCATATCTTATCGTTTCTATTGTAATTAACTTTAAAACATTTTCATTCTCCTGAAAAAATGCTTTGACTACTGCTGGTTATTAGAACAACTCATAAAAGCTAGAAGAGAAATGAGAAACGAGCACAATCCCTAAATTAGAATCAATATTCTAAAGATTTTTATAATATTAATAATAATAATAATAATAATAAAAGCCCATTGCATTAGATTACGACATAGAATAAGGATAAAAAAATCAGATGGAATCAAATTAAATTCAGTGCAAAAGCTAAAAAAGCTTCCAAAAATAATTTAATTTCTTCAGATTTTGCAGAGCAGTCATTTTACAGATGACCTTACAGTATTATTATCTGACTGCCTTTAAAATGACAAAGTCCTAAAAAAGATTCAACACTTTGTCACACGTTTACACTTCATTCTTCCTCCTTCTGTGTCTTTACCCGTTCATAAGTGCAGCTCTGCAGTTCAACTTTGAACATAAACCATGCAGTGATACATTTATCTGTGCAAAACATACATTCTAACTTTTTATATAATGTTACTGTCCACTAGAAATTCTTAGTTTTTAGGAGCAGGATGAGACATGAGATAAAGATCTGTTTTCCATTATTTATATAAGTCAAGTTCCTCTCTGCAGGCTGCAATGCTGCACAAAGACAATAGTGGCTTCCATTAGCAGGAAGAACCAGATCACACGCTGTGACTTTGATGTTTTCACTGGGTTTGCAGAAACCTATGAAGTATCTATTTTACAATAATTTTGAATTTCTGTTAAAAGAGAAATCCATTGAATGGGAGACTTTGACCTTCTTATATCTCCCTCTGCAGGTAACCTCTCTAAAACCTGCACAGCAGACGGCTGGACGGAGATGCATCCCATTGACATTGCTGTGAACTGTGGATACAATCTGAACAGCACCAGCGATGATGTGAGTGTAAACTGTGAATAAAAGATTCGAGGTCCCGCAGTGAATGAATGTAACAACGCAGCGGGAGGTAACGTCAAGAGTCAGTGGGCAGAATGACATAAATGGGTTTGTTTTCTTCTTTTTTGCTTTTCGGGTCAGTTTTTATGAAATGGATTTATTTTTTTTAACTCTCATTGTATCTATTTATGGTGCTGCTGCTGGGATTAAGATACTGTTAATTTAGATTTTTATCATTCTTTTATACGATAGACGTCAAAAAGTATGCCTTAAAAATAAGTTTTAATAATGACAACAGATTAACGTAATGTAAAGCAGTGGTCTTCAATTTAAATTCAACAAGGTTCAACTAAAAACATCTGTTCTATTAAATGCAAAGAATATATACCGTACATTACAGTCGTTATAGTTGTCTTTGCTTAAACTTTTGCTTTTCAGGTCCGTACATCTTTGTGGGCTGGTAGCTTTTCTCTGCAGAAAGAAGCAGAGAGAAACTGGTCCATGCGTGGGAATTCCCATAAATGCAGGCAAAGCTGCACTGTCAAAAATGAACTATCATAAATGCCAGAAAAAAGCCTGCTTCAAATAAAATACTGTAAATGTTTGAAAATGAAAAACAAAGGACTTATCTTTTAAATTATGTCACCATCCATTTCTAGTTCTTAACAAACAAATATCAGCTGTATAATTACAAGTTCCAGGATCTTGTCAAATATTTCCTTACACAAAGTACATCAACCAATAAACTCCTTAACACAGTAATTATACTCTAATTAGAAGTATAATAACTGAAGATTTTAAAGTATTAAATGTAGACTTGTGATGAAAACATCCATTATTTCTTACATGTCCAGTTTAAGTTTCTTTCTTTACAACTGTCCCCATTTTGATAAAACTTTTCGTCTTTTTTTATAAGTAGACTTTTCTATCAAAACATGCAACATGGTGTTGTTTACCTTTTTATTTTCTGTAAAGATATTTGTTGCAATTTGACGCAAATAAAAAAATGTAATTCCATTTTTTTTCCACAAAGCCCATTAAATTAAGGTTTTTCCACAAATCCTTTAAAAATGTTGAGAATTTCTTGATCTTTAACACTTGATTTTCTTCTTTTCACAACAAAAGTCTACATAAAACCAAACAAATATGCAAAAATGAAGACGATCTGTTAGTTACACTAACAACCACAATGTGTTCAAATGTAAACAGGAGCAAGTGATTTTACTGTAAAAAAAAACATAAAAATGATTGTGCTGTTTCTTTATTTGCCTGTGGGCTGCTTTTGAATTGTTTATGTGTTTCAAATGATTTTTATTCTTTTAAACTTAACAATTCATGACCTGTGGGGAATTGTTTTTTCTGACATCATCAATAATGAACGTACCCATAAGTCAACATCTATCAGTGTTTGCTGAAGCGTTTTTGAAGCTCCACACGTGTCACTGACAAGGTTAGGGCAGTCAAAGTCCTTCTTGTGTTATCCGACATTATGAGAGGTTATTCATGATGCCCCCAGGAGTAGGACGTGAATCAATGCATATGTTGTCTTACTTGTGTTTGTTTTACTGCAGAGAGCTAATCTTGTCTGTGTTGATGAGGGTGAAGCAGGGTGAAGGAAGGATGAACATTGTGCAGCGGTAAAAGCTTTCTTGGTGGGCAGTGGGCCCTCTGAGTCACAGAGGCAGCCTCATTAGTATGCCTCACAGGGATTCAGTCACAGATTGAGGGAGTCAGGGACTCTAAAAGGAATATGATGTCCATCTCTCCATACTTGATGTATTTGTGTGGAACAGGATGCAGAGCTTCCAGTCTCATATTCATCAACACAGGGAAACTAAAACCAGTATAAAAAAAATCTAGTGAAATCCTTTGGGCAGGTTTTTGACAGTAGTAAATAAAATAAAAATGTGACAGTGTAAGTATTTTAACTTAGTTCTTTGATAAACCTCAATACGGAGAATATGATTGATGCTGACTGGATTGATAAACTAATGACTAGTCCAGGGGTCTGCAACCTTTACGATCAAAAGAGACATTTCTGCCCCTTTGTTCGCTAAATTAAACGTGTCCGGAGCCACAATACCTGCTACAACTGGGATTCTCAACTGGTGGCCCACAGACCACTTTAAGTTTGTTGGAGGGGGATTTTCTGGACAGTAGGGGTGATTTTATCAAACTAAAAATATCTAATGATTTTTAACAGTAGTTGATATTTTTACACTCTAAGACGAAATAAAAGACGAGATTCTTGTAAAGAAGGAAAAATAATATAGTGTAGTGAACTAGGCCTCGGTCAAACCTGCCTCTGAAGACCTTCATGGGACAGGAACTGTTATTTCATTGATTTGAATCCAGAAATACAAATTAGCTCATCCAGAGACTTTCTAAATGTATCCTGAACTAATCAATTGAAAGAACACTCTCTTTTTGATATTATCATTACTATTTTACAATATCTTGATAATCAAAAGTGTGTTTAGTTCAAACCATTTTAAATGTTGAAATGAACCACTCATTTTAAATCAACTGTGAAACAGTATTAATGATTTTTAATCCTCATTCAAAGTAGAAATCAAGTTAAAATGTCTATGTTACAAAGTAATGCATTTTTAATCTTCTGTCTGAAATGAGAGAGAGTGATGTCGGTCAAAAGTCGGAGACAGTCCGAAGCAAGTTATTGGAATGAACTGTCATGTTTTTAAACCTCTCAGACAGAAACAAGAAAACTGGCACCTGTAAGTCTGTCATTTCTCCAAAACATTTCTCTGTCTGTTCCTAAACATCTACGCTGTTTTTCTGACTTGTAATGACCCTCTGACGTCACTAAAACCACACCCCTGTTGTCCTGATGCATGCTCAAATAATCCAGGTAGAAAAATCTAAAAAAGTTAAATCTGGTCCTCTGGACATTCAAAAAAAAAAAAAAAAAAAACACAAAACAAAGAAAATCAACAAAAAAATGTAGAAACGTTTCGTCTCTCATCCAAGAGTCTTCCTCAGTCTGAGGAGCTGTATTCAGCTCAGTCTCTTAAATAGCACCGTCTCAGAGTGGATCAACCAGTTTGCTGCTGACAACCAAAACCAGCTGATCACATGCTCAAGAAGGACCATCAGCCTAACAATGGATCATTAGCACACTGATGGCTGTTTACTGTTCACAGAGGGCTGAGTGACCACATCATCTCTGTGGATAAATACATCAAGTTCACACGTGAAGATGTAAAAAATGGCAGGTTGGCTTTCTTGGACTGTGAGGTCTCAGTCTCTGGTAGAGGACATTTGCAAACTGAGGTGTACCACAAACCCACCCACACAGACCAGTATTTGCAGTTTGACTCCCATCACCCTTTGGAGCACAAGTTAGGAGTCATCAGGACTCTGTATCACAGAGCAGACAGCATCCCCACTAGCTCAGGAGCCAGGCAGAAGGAGAAATCCTACACAAGACAGGCTCTAGAGCAATGTGGATATCCTAACTGGGCCTTCCTGAAAGCAGAGAAGAAACCCAAACAGGACTCCAGTCAGCCATCAGGTGAAAAGGAGGAACCCAGACCCAGACCAGTGGTCATTCCGTATGTTGAGGGAGTATCAGAGAAACTGAGACGTTTATTTTCTAAACATAATGTCCCAGTGGCTTTTAAACCCCAAAATACATTACGGCAAAGACTGGTTCATCCCAAAGATCCAGTCCCCCGGCACAAACAGAGCAATGTTGTGTATGCTGTTCAGTGTCAGGAGGGCTGTGATCAGTCTTACATCGGGGAAACTAAACAGCCACTGGCCAAAAGGATGGACCAGCACAGAAGATCAACATCATCAGGCCAGGACTCTGCGGTCTACACAAATCTCCAGGCCAGCGGTCACTCTTTCAGGGATGAAGATGTTCACATCCTGGATAGAGAGGAACGATGGTTTGAGAGAGGAGTAAAGGAGGCCATCTTTGTGAAAAGAAATCGTCCATCGTTAAACAGGGGTGGAGGCCTCCGGGTTCAACTGTCCCCCTCTTACAATGCTGTGATTGCTAGTATCACTCAACCCTCTGTGAACAGTAAACAGCCATCAGTGTGCTAATGATCCATTGTTAGGCTGATGGTCCTTCTTGAGCATGTGATCAGCTGGTTTTGGTTGTCAGCAGCAAAACTGGTTGATCCACTCTGAGAAGGTGCTATTTAAGAGACTGAGCTGAATACAGCTCCTCAGACTGAGGAAGTCTCTTGGATGAGAGACGAAACGTTTCTACATTTTTTTGTTGATTTGCTTTGTTTTGTGTTTTTTTTTTTTTTTTTTGAATGTCCAGAGGACCAGATTTAACTTTTTTAGACACACCCCTGTTGGTTCTTTCAACCAATCAGGACTTCCCAAAAGTGACCGGAAGCAGAACTCTTTAAAAGTCGACACTTCCTAGTTCCAGGGAGAACAGAAGTTCCAAAAGTTCAGTGCCTGGAGAAAGTTCCAGTGCCTGAAAAAAGTTCTGAAGTGCTGGAGTTAGTTGGGAGTTCTTCCGAGTCTAGTCGGGATTATGGAGCCTTCCACATCTGAGTGGAACCGCTGACGGACTCACAGCTCATGTGAGTCCACCCGGGAGGTGAGCGTGTTGTTGAATGGAGTACCATCACTACTTCGGACGATTCTCAGCCATCCTAAGGAGACGCTGAAAGGTAGCGTTGAAATGGAACTCCGTACCGGAGCTGACCTATCTTCTGCAAAGGTAACAAGTCGCTTCACTACCGAGTGTACCGAGGCTGAGCTGGGGTCGAATGGAGGGTGCCGTTCCTTGTCAACACACTTTCCCTCATCCATCTTTTCTCTCCATTTAAACTCCTTCATTTATCATCTTTAAAACTCTTCTATCTTGCCAGTAATTAATCCAGATATCTTCAGAAATGTCTGTTGTTTTTATTAAGTAAAACATGCCAAGTTTTATTAATCAGAGCCGATAGCATAATCAAGTGTACAATGTTTTGATGTTAAATTTTGATTCTGTTAATAAATGACCACATTCATTTTGATGGGTCAAAGAAAATTAACGTCTCATGTCACTGATTTGACCATCTCACTCAGTAACTCTGTCACATATCTGTCAAGTAGCTCGAAAAAGTGAGAACCCGTTATTAAAAATTGACTGTAGTGGAGCTCTTAAGCTAACTGAAGCTAACCTAGCCCTACATCACTACAATAGTTTTTGCCCAGTTTCTAAAAACTAAAACGATAAACTATGCATTTTTATGTGATATTTTTAAAATATGGTAGAAACATTACATCTCCTACTTTGAAGAGATAAAGCATAAAGTGAAAGTGAGTATGTTTTACTCCTTGTAATGTTTCTAGTATTCATATATTTGCAAAATAAATGACAGGAATACTGCTAAAACTAGCCCTTTTAGTTGTTGTTATAACAACCAATAAAATTCAGTTTTATCTCAGTTTTGGTCAAAGCTTGAAAGAGTCGCTGCAGAGGGACCAAAGAGCCGCATGTGGCTCCAGAGCCGCATGTTGCAGACCCCTGGACTAGTTGGAGCAAAGCGAAGGCCAAAGTGGATTCTGGTTTTCCTGAATGTCACTATATTCCCAAACTTCCCTGTTTGACTTTGTAGTCGTGTCATCTGATTTTCGGCCATTTGTTTTGGACAATCGGGTGAAGAAAGGAGCTGTCAACCACCTGATAGTGAGTTGGATCAGATGGCGGGGAAGATGCGGGACAGACCTGGTAGACCCAAACAGTTAGTGAGGGTTTGCTGGGAACTTCAGACCTGTGGTGTCACAGTGGTGATTCTTCTACAAAGTGGCTAAAATTTCTCGAATTAGGCAACCGTTTATGTTAAATGTTTGTGGAAACCAGTGGAAAAGTTGTATTAACTTTTCATCCATTCTAGCAAAGCAGGTCAACTTGTATTGAACCCCTACCCCACTTAATTATCATTCAAATTAAAGTGCTTGTAGTAATTTGGTCAAATTTACTGATTCACAAGGACTTCACATTGAACTAACAATATTGCATTTGACCCCAAGCTTCAGAAATTTAGTTGAGTTTGATGTTTTGTTTTCTTTTTGAAGGGGAAGTTTTTCTGGCAAGTGAAGATTGGCTACACCATCGGTCACAGCGTTTCACTCATTTCTCTCATCACAGCTATAGTGATTCTTTGCATCTTCAGGTAGGTAAACACATTACTCACGGCTGTTTTCTCCCAGAGATTTGCAGCTTGTTGCCACCTTTAAAAGAAAAGATAGACGGTTCCAACACAAAGTAAAAATATGCATAGAGGTATAGTCACTGTTCTTCCGTGTGGCTGCTCATCTGGATATGCGTTTGTAAATCTTTGCTACAAAATTAGAGCAAATCAGTTTCTGAATCATCATACTGTTCAGGTAAATCGCACCCGCAAAGACCTGGATTAGACTCAGATCAGTCTTACTCTGGTTTTTCTTCCTAATTTGACTTTTAAGTGTTTACATTTTCTCCCCAAGTGGCATTTTAGCTCCTTGTAGATGAACTGTACAGCCAATTGTTCAGAAAAAAAAACAGAAATTCATCTTTTCACTTTCTGGGCTTCAGTTGGAGCACAATATTTATAATCCTGGTGGTTTGATGTGACGTGGATGTCATGACAAATTATACATTCCAGGGTCACATTTTCGGTGGAATTTGTCAATCTTGGATCATTTCACATTCAGGCATTAAACTCAGGTTTATGTTAAACTGTGAAAGATATGAATCCTTCAACTTGTCACTAAAATGTGATGAATTTGATTGGGTGGACTTGTCCAGCTCTTCGGGGCTTTTGGTGGAAATAAAATGATTTATGTATTTGCTGTTTAATATGTTGAGAATGTGCTGTAAGCTGCTTAAATGTTGCTGCAGGAATATTGGTTACATGTTCTGTAATCTCAAAGGAAGGTCAAACAGTTGTTTGTGCAGAATGAAAGTATTTCTTTGTTTAACTTTTAACAAAAAATATTCTTGTGCTTGTTTCATCATCCTAAACTAACGATGTGATGCAACAAGTATTTTATTTCTTTTAAACAAGTGCTGCTTATCTATATACTGTATACACGCTAACTAATACCTGTCAGGACACACACTGGTAAATATCATTAAATGCCTATTTCCTATTCCTTTTATGGAACTGGAATTTATGTTGTTTTCTCCGGGTGCTCCGGTTTCCTCCCACAGACCAAAAACATGCATGTTAGGCTGATTGTGTAGTGAGTCACGTGGGTACGTGTCACTAGTTGTAGTATGACAATATATCCCCGTTTATATGCATACTATATTCACGAGTTCCTCATCTTTCTGACTGTGTAATGCCGTGCATTGAATTTAACAGAAATGCGAACGAGAGACGTTATTACCTTTGACCCATCAAAATGAATGGAGTCATTTATTTTCAGAATCAAAGTTTAACATCAAACATTTACATTAATTTGGCAAAATATGAAAATAATAACAGACAGTTTCACAAATAATGAACTTCAAATCACTCGGCGGTGATTTGAGGACTTTGCTTCAGATATTTCTAAAATATCTGTACTGGTTTATGAGAGAGAGGTGAGTTTAAGATGAAACGGAGATTTATCTTACAGAGGAATATGTGAGGGAATTTAATCTGTTTGACCAGAAATTGCACGCTTCGTCAGATCTCAGCTCGTCCACGGTACACTTGGTCGAAGAAGAACTTTACCTTGTTGAAGTTCATCAGCTCAGTAAGAATCCTTCAGACTTTTTCAGCGTCTCCGTTGAGAACTGCTAAAATCCTTGGAGAGTCGTGCGTGGGTCGTTCAAACAGAAATTATAATTCCAAGACGTCTCTGGATCATCTTGAACGCGTTCTGCATCCAAGAATTCTGAACTCCTTTCATTCTTTAACTCTCAGCAACTCTTCATTGTCTAAAACTCTCAGACTCATAACTCTCTGGAAACTCCAACGCTCCAACGCTCTAGAACTGTTCACCATTCCAACTCTCTGCCAGAACCGAGAAGTTCTCACATTTTAAATGAGTTTACTTCCGAGTTTACTTCAGAGCTTTCTGATTCGTGGATGGACCAGAAAGAGGAGTGGTTTTGACGTAAGGTGTTTATCAAAAGTCGAGGTCAGAGAATGAAATTTGTTTAACAACTGACAGAGAGATTATTGCAGAAAAGCAGACTTCGTGGAGTCTCCACTCTGATATCTTCTCAAATAGTTAAACATGACATTTCTTCTTCAGTAAACATTTAGTTGACCGAAGCTTCAACTTTCACATACTTACGACTTGGCTCATTTCAGACAGAAAATCAAGAAATGCATATTAACCTGATTTCTCCTTTGAATGAGGAATAAAAATCATTACTTACTGTTTATGTAAAATAAAAATGAGTAGTTCTTTTCAACCTGTAAGCATTGAGTGAACTAACACCATTTGATTATCAAACATTTGTAAAACAGTAATGATTATAGAGGATTGTCTTTTCTGCTTGATTAATTCAAGAAAGAAAGTCATCAGATGGCTCAGACTTATTCAGATCAATGAAAATAACAGTCTCTGTCCATCTGGTAGATTTGAGGTCAGATAAGGGTCAGACCAGGTTCACTACAATTGGTAACTCTAAATTGTCCCTAGGTGTGAGTGAGAGAGTGAATGGTTGTTTGTCTCATTTGTCTCTATGTGGCCCTGTGATGGACTTGCGACCCATCCAGGGTGTCCCCCACCCCTCGCACAGTGATTGCTGGACATGGGCACCAGCGACCCCCGTGACCCAAAATGGAATAAACAGGTAAAGATAATGGATGGATGGATGGATGGATGGAATTTATGTTTTTTTTTTCACCACAGCATTGTCTGTTTTCCAGTCTGTTTCGTAAAGTACCACATGTTTTGGGGTTCCTCCTTGAATCGCTATTCCTCCTTGGATCACCACCTTATTGTGGTGACAAAGTTTGTACGCTTGAATGTCTTAGGAGCTATGCTGCTGGGAGCAATTGTAACTGGTAGGGTCTCCCAATGCAGATTAGTCCTAGCTGACAGGCCAGACAAAGAGTGATTACCAAAACTCAAATGGACAGAAAACAGCAAGGAGCTCAGTGTCCCTTGCCCGGACGTGGGTTCCCAGGGCCCCATCCTGGAGCCAGGTCTGGAGGAAGGTCTCGTCTGCAAGCGCATGGTGACTGGGTCTCTTTCCATAGGGCTCAGTCAGACTCAGCTCGAATAATGGGTTTGCGTTCCTGTGAGCCCACCACCTGCAGGAGGGACCATACAAGTTGGGTGCATGGTGCCATGGGCAGTAGCCAAAGGTGGGAGCCTTAGTACTCTGACCCTGGCTTACCAAAGCTGGGGACATGGAATGTAACCTCTCTGGCAGGGAAAGAGCCTGAGCTTGTGCGTGAGGCTGAGAAGTACTGACTAGAAGTATTTGGGCTCATCTCGATGAACAGCGTGAGCTCTGAAACCAATCTCCTTGAGAGGGGCTGGACCTTATTCTACTCTGGAGTTGCCCATGGTGAGAGGCGCTAAGGTGGTGTGGAACTACTCTTCAGGCAAGTCTGACTGGGAGGAGATCCCAGGGAAAACCCAGGACACACTGGAGAGACTATGTGTCTAGGTTGGCCTGGGAATGCCTTAGAGTCTTCCCAAAAGAGCTGGAAGAGGTGGCTATGGAAAGAGATGTCTGGGCTTTCCTGTTCAAGCGGCTACCCCGTGACCCAGCTTCGGAACAAGTGGAAGATGTCTGTCTGTCTGTCATTTACCTTTAGTACTTTCAAAGAGGACATGCACAAGCTGAACGTGTGCCAGTCTAAGCGTTCATTGATCCTCACTTCCTAACTTGCAAGAGGCGAGGTCAGAATGATTACTTAAACATGAGAAAATCAAATGGAAATTATCAACATATCTGAGCCATAAGAAGCATGATGGAGCACTAGGAGGCTGTGGTGATGGAAAGGCAAAGTGTTATCAGTCGGAAACTATAGGATGTAGCTTGTTCCGAAAACACTAAGTATAGCAGGAAAGGACTTCAAAAAAGTTCAAGACAAAAACAACTGGACTTTATTTGTAACAGAAGGCGTTTTGCTTCTCATCCGAGAAGCTTTCCCAATAATCTCGGTTGAGAAGTGAAACGTCTTCTGTTACAGAGAAAGTCCAGTTGTTTTTGTCCTGATCTTTTTTGAATTGACCATGTCCTGGATGACTGAGAATCTTCACCAGAGCAGGAAAGGACCAACGTTGTGTTTGTGATTCCTAAAATGACTTTAATCTTTATGTAACTAAACAGTTAACAGGATTATTAACAATTAATACCTTACCTGTTGTAAAGATTTGAATGAGCTCAGCTTGGAAAAACTACTTTAATTTTGTTTATTTATTTGTTTATAACCTTTTTATAGAATTGCACTTCTAAAGACATGAACTATCACATCAACCCGCTACATATGGCTTTATTTTAATACTGAAAAATATTCTTTGTTGAATATTCAAGCAGGAAAATAATTTTATAACAAACATAACTTGTCATTCAGATTAAGGCTCTTTCATAAAATACTTTTCATCCATCTTCTGGCAACTGAATTTTCGCTGTCTCAGTTTAAAATATATTCAAAAAATGTTTATTGGTCGTGCACTACATGCAGTAGGACTGGAAGAAAGCAAACATTTTATGAAATACAGTACTATTATTATTATTATTAACATCTATTTAAAATAGTGATGGCACATAACAAAATGTTACATCTTAAAAAGTACAACTTCATAGAAAACCTACACAGATGCAGGGACATCACACCACCTCCACACAGAAAAGCGTCAGTCAATTCATGCTGCTAAACTCCACACCACCCTGGAGAACGCAGTTAATAACAAATCACAATGACAGCATGTAACAGTAATGTTTTTACACCGCTTTGACAGAATGTGAAAAAGCTGTCCTGGGTGGGAATGAGGGGAAAATGAGCATGTAATACCTCCAGTGGGGGCATTAAATTATTTGAAATGTGCTTTAGCGCCAGAAATGAATGTTTTCCTGCCCTGGGGACAAAACGACTTGGAATAAAAACAAACTTACTTAGAAACTTTACACCACTTTCACATTCCGACTAATGATTTAATCCCTCCAAGAATGATAATGTAATCAAGAGGTGAAATGTGTTAAATAATTGGATAATTGAGAGTTTCACAAGCATTTACCCATTTGGAAATTTACCTCTCTTGTCTGCTTTGTTGAGATGTATAAAGGACCATAAAAATCATACAATCTGTTCTGAAGTGAATCCACCCACTTAGCAACTAAATGTATTCAGAGGCCTGATTATACTTTAATTCAGTCTGTAATTTGCTGTTATTTTACGCCATTAACTCTGAAGACTTTATGCAATTAACACATAGACCCTTTTAACTGATTTGTTTGTCCTGATTTGCATTTTTTAAATATTTTTGTGTGCAGAAAACTCCACTGCACAAGGAACTACATCCACATGCATTTGTTTGTGGCGTTCATCCTGAAGGCCATCGCCGTGTTTATCAAGGATGTGGTCCTTTACGAAGTTGGGGAGGTGGACAACTGCTCTTCAGGCTCGGTGAGTTCATTGTTTCAATATGCTGCTGTTTGATTTAGGAGTTTTGGGCTGAAAAGCTTGTGGAAGTTTGCTTTCTTTGTTGATTTCATGCAATAAACTTATTAATATCTTGATGCATGCTCAATAATCCAGGTAGAAAAATCTAACAAAGTTAAGTCAGGTCCTCTGGATGGATTTTAAAAAAAATCTGCCCAAAGGACCTGACTTTACTTTGTTGGAGCACACTTATTAATTTACCATTTGGCTTATTTCTGAATACATTATTTATTTTTTTACCAAAAAAGGAGCAAAGTTTTTATCAGACATATGCAATGGAGAAGGCAATAAAAAAATAAAATAAAATAAAAAAATATATAGATGAGTTATACTGATCAGCCATAACATTATGAACACAAACTCATTATTGAGCGAGTTTGTGTTTTCCCACCAAAATTCTCATCAGTGTGGACAAGAAACATCTACTAAGTTTTATTAGTGGGTTCTCCATTGATACACCCTTTAATTAACTGATGCTTGCAATAAATATGCAGTCATATCATCAAACTGATTTAAAAAAAAGTTCATTTAAGTTTCCCTCTGACATTATAACAGACACAACTCAAAATACAGTGATAAGGCACCAAATATGTATTTCAGAACAGAGAGCCTCCAGGCCACAATCGGGCACAGCGGTTTATGTTTTACAGTTTGGCCACACAACAAGCAAAACCTCAGAGTGTTTCTATTAGATCTCTGGCCAGATCTTGTATTATTAAAACTTTTAACGCTTGACAGGAGCCAGCTGCTGTTAGAGATAGGTTTGGAAACGTGTTACACAGACAGATTTACTGGTGAAGTGCTCATTATTTTATTGGTTTTAAAGTTTTTTTTTCTGCATCCTTTGCTGCTTGTCCTTTGTCTACACTTTAGTATTAGTTGTACAGTAGTTTTTTCATGTACTAATCTTGCTGTAAACTTTATACTGAGGTGTGTATGAGCTCAGACTGAACTTCACTTCTTTTAAGTGAAAGCAAACCTCTCTAAGCACGCCTGTGATAAAACAGACAAAATATAGTATTTGTAAAGAGTTTTCTCATCAGTAACTTATAGATACTATAGAAAATAGGCCAATGCTCTCATCTAAGTCCTGGTAATTATGAATGCCACTGTACAAAATGTTTTCTGGTTGTCTTCTATTCGAAATAAATTTCTGTAATAAAATGTCTAGAAATAAAGTTTACCCACTCTTTTTAACTGACCCTTTAAACATCAAAGAAAGTAAAAAAAAAAAAAACACTCATACTTTAAACCACTAAATATAACACTGTTATGTTTTGTTTTCTAACTCCCATCATATTTGTCCATTCAAATATGATTACATATATCACTTTATATCCCCAGTGGGACATGTTTTTCAGCCCCACAGCACAGTTTTATTAGAGTTTTTTTGCATGCAGGTTTGTAACATAAGCTACTTGCACTGAAATGTGTAGATAAATCTATTGACTCTGACGTGCACAAAACTGCTCATGTCAAACACTAAACTAACAGGACTGTAATTGTATAAAGTTTGCTTGTAAAGTAAACTTTTTGGATTGTTTTAATCAGAATTTATGTTCTGGACACCTTAAATTGTAACTCACTTCATAAAACAGGAGCTGTAGTACTTGGGTCATTTAATACACATTTGTAATGACGAGTACAATTTTAATACGGTTTCATTATAAAAGTGAAAGTAACGTTCCTTGAAGAAATCTATCGCCCACCACCTTGCATTTTGATGTTTTGCGTGATGTGCTAGCATATGTTGGCATATAATTAAGTGACCTTATCCACATACACATTTTTTTAAAATGGTATGGTGGCACAGTGGTGCAGTTGGCAGAGCTGCTGCTTGTCAGCGAGAAGGTTGCCTGATCAACTTCTAACCGGGGACCTTTCTGGGTGGAGTTTGCATATTATCTCTGTGCATGCATGGGTTTTCTCTGGGTACTCCGGTTTCCTCTCATCGACCAAAGACGCGCATCTCTGTTGAGCCATGTATCCCTACAGCTATAAGTAGTGATAACTTAATGAGATTATATATAAATTACAGAATTTGAATTAGAGAAAAGCTTTACACCATCCTTCCTACCATTGCCTCCAATTCCTTGTCAGATGAGGCAGCTTTAGAAATGTCACTAGAACTTGATTTATGTTTGGACTGTTTTTGTCCTATTGAGCTATCTGAATTGTCAAAAATAATAGCTTCGTCCAAACCATCAACATGTCTGCTAGATCCCATCCCAAACAGACTGTTTAAAAAGGTGTTTCCCCTATTTAATTTCCACATATTGGATCCGCTTAATTTGTCTCTAATGAATGGTTACGTACCAGAGTGCTTTAAAGTTGTAAAATAAACCGTTACTTAGGAAGCCTGATCTTGATTCAGGAATTATGGCCAATTATGGCCTTACATCAAACATTGTAATATGCATGGATCAGAAAAACTGGTCCATGCATTTATCACATCTGGGCTGGACTATTGCAACTATATATTATCTGTGTGTCCAAAAGTTATTTAAGTCTTTAGTTGATCCAAAATGCTGCTGCCAGTTTTAATGAGAGTTAATAGGAGAGATACTTCTCCAGTTTTAGCTTCTCTCCATTAGCAAATTCAGAATATGATTCAAAATCTTACTTCTAACATGCAAAGCTCTCAACAACGCTAATGATCCATCGTTAGGCTGATGGTCCTTCTTGACCATGTGAGCAGCTGGTTTTGGTTGTCAGCAGCAAACTGGTTGATCCACTCTGAGAAGGTGCTATTTATAAGACTGAGCTGAATACAGCACCTCAGACTGAAGAAGTCTTTCGGATGAAAGACGAAACGTTTCTACAATTTTTTTTGTTTTGTTTTGTTGAATGTCCAGAGGACCAGATTTAACTTTTTTAGATTTTTCTACCTGGATTATTGAGCATGCATCAGGATATCACTTATAAATATGTCTAACCTTGATGCTAACGTATACAAATTTACCACCTTCCTTGTCCTTCACATACAGTATATGTCATATGAACTTTTCACCTAGCTGTCTTGCGTCTAAATCTTGTCTGATATATCAGATATAGGTTAGGAAATGTGAAAACTGTAATTTCTTTCTTTTGTGTCCATTGTTAGGTTGGCTGCAAAGCAGTAATTGTGTTCTTTCAGTATTGTATTATGGCCAGTTTCTTCTGGCTCCTGGTGGAGGGCCTTTATCTTCACGCATTGCTGGCCGTGTCTTTTTTCTCCGAGAGGAAATATTTCTGGGCTTACATTCTGATCGGCTGGGGTGAGATTGTGTCCTTTTTTCTATGCCATTATAGAGTGAATGCAGAAAACAGAGATGCAGTCTTGCCAGAGAAATACAATAATATTTTTGATTTTGGTTTAATGTTACTTTATGTATATTCATATGTCCTGTCCTCAGGGGGTCCAGCAGTTTTCATCACAGCTTGGAGCATTGCCAAAGCCTACTATAATGATGTGGGGTGAGAGAAACAGCACAGAACTGCAAAATCTTTGATTTTCCTTTTGATTTTTCAAATTGGCACTATTGTTTTATGTCTCACCAGGTGCTGGGACATTATTGAAAATACAGACGTGTTCTGGTGGATTATTAAAACTCCAATTTTAGCATCAATCTTTGTAAGTTTACGAGAAAAAAAAAATTAAATCACAGACATTTTGATCTTTTTGAACAAACTTTTCCAACTTTCCATAAAGGGAAGATGTGTGATATATATCCCTACTGGATTTCAAAACAGAGAAGGTGAACTGATGTCACTATTCTCATTTTACTTAGAAAAGCTGTCATTATTTCTCATTTTCTGAGCCAAGTAACATTTGCAGAAATCTTAAGCTAAACAGAGATTTGAAAGAGGATAAATGTGGAGTGTGTCAGGATGATTTACAGGTTTTAGGATGAGTTAGATCTTAATATAATGTATCTATAAGTTGTTAACCAACTCTCATCATTCACTGATGTGTGTTGAGGTCCAGTTACTTTATAGTGGGTCAGACTGTCAGCTCACATTGTGTTTTTCTCATTAAGTTCAGAGTTTAACCTGAAACAACAGTTTAAATATCCATATTTTCTTCCATCCATTCAGAACACAACATGACATTTAGCATCAGGATTTTTTATTTGATCCTGTTGTAAACAAAACTCCATATCTGTTGGATAAAACATGGATTTTTATTGATTTTCTGGCTTTCTTAAGGCCATCAGGTTTGGATCATCAGTAGTGGGGTTTTGTAGAAATATCATGAATAGTTAGTATCTTACCTGCTGTTAGTTGCATTCAGGCCTATCTGACCCGGCCCAGCCCTAGCCCGTATATAATTTTTTAAGCTTTTACTGCTTTTGTAAGCAAATCAATTAGACATGATAGTTTTAAAAACATATTTCAAAGAAAGAAAGATATACGATTTTTTGTTTATTAACAAGTCACCAAATGAATATTAAGATACAAAATAAATAGCCTAAATAATACTCTCTAAAGATGAAGATTATGTCTTTTTTTTAACTCTTTCAACTGGCCGGTCAGTGGACGCACGGCTAATGATCCCGTTGTCCATATGAAGCGTAACTGGGCTTTTTGTTTTACCTTTCTCAACCAGCCGGTCAGGGTCAATTGCAAACCCTCAGATGTGTGATTAGAGCAAACGGTGGGCGGGGCCACATCGCAATTGTTCCGCAATGCATCAGCGCTACTCTCTCTTTTCACAGACTGATTAACAGTCTATTTTCTTTTCCTCATCCTCAACATAGTAAACTTACTGCCTCCTCCTCAACAAGCAGAGTAACACAATTTTACATATATTGTGCATTCTTATTTACTTTTCTTTGTGTTGTATGATCGTAAAACCGCACCATAGCACAAGACCGACACGGCCCGTCCATCGAGCACATTATTTTGGCCCGATCTGGCCCGAATTTCGGGTCGAGCCGGGCCTGGCCTGAGTTAGAAATGACAGCTCTACCTGCTGTAGAGCTGTCATTTCTAACCCAAACCCGAAACCTGGTCTAGACTGACCTGGATTAGGGCTGGGCCGTTATAATGTAATTGATAGGCGGGCCTTGTCGGTATCGGGCATTTAATTAGGTCAGGATCAGCTGCAATCCAATTATATAACATGGTCTGCCATACATCCACCAGTCACACGTGGCCATTTCACCGTGAGCTGACCGGCCTTGAAAGAGGTAAAAAGTTCAGCTGAGCTTCAGATGGGACTGTACTGCCAGGCAGCGATCCATCAGCCTAAATGGACGTTCATTCTGCCGCTGCACTCAGTGGATGCGCGCGGCCGACGACCCAAACAGGTGAGATCCCAAAGCAGATGCGTGTGTCAGAATTGTCCGCGTGTCTCAGTAATTCAGAAGAATGCAGGCAGAAACGGGGTTTAAATGCTCTTTGAGGGCCATGAAAGTACAAACATCCTCTCAGCTCCAATCTCATGCCCCTTTTATTCAGCTGCACGTCCCCGACTGTTAATAACTAATTAAAAATGTCTGTTTTGTTTTCCAGGTTCGGACGTGTAATTACTGTTAATTCGTCGGGTCGGTGGGGTTCGGAAATTATGACTGCAGGCTGGGGCCGGTCGGATCGGATTTTTTGTTCCTGAATGCAACTCTAACCTGCTGTAGATAGCTATTTAACCAAAATCACTTTAAAGAAATGAATATTATTTCTAACTGGATTGACAAGCTGACTGCTACTCCGAGCAGATCCAAGATCAAAGTGGGTTTCTGCCATCTTAAAGCAACTGCACTTTCCAAAAACAATTGCAGCAATTTATTCTGACACTATTTTATAAACCTTTACATTACCATCATGTTTGTGTTCAATTATATTCATAGCATTGTGCAAATGGTGGATATGAATTAAATCTAATTTAAAATCCAATTTTCCTCATCCCTTTTTGATAATTATCATCCACAGATGAACTTTGTTCTTTTCATCTGCATCATTCGAATACTTCGCCAGAAGATCAACTGCCCAGATATTGGAAGAAACGAGTCCAACCAGTATTTGTGCGTACAGAAATGCCTTTTTCTGGTTGTATTATTTGTTTTAAGTAAGAATTTTTGATGAAAACTTCTTTGTTTTAGTATTCTGAATAACCAAACTCCTTTCTTTAAAAGGATTATCAAATATTATCTTGAGCAAACTTATTTTGCAAAGCTTAAAGTAACATTTACAGAACTGATGACCATTTTTGTTAAACACTCAGAAACAATAGAGCTATGTCTGATACTTTTTCACTTTAGGAGGGAAACTTCTTTTCCTTTCATGTGATGTTCAACAAACTGCTCAGTGCGTTGGTCTCGGTGTGTTTTTAAGTGAATCTTCTGTGATAGAGAGCATCTCATACACCAGCCATAATGCTTGAGCTATTCTCCCACTGACATTTTTAATGGTGTTTTTTCCCATTTCTGGTCTGCTGAGATGAAATGTAAAATGAAAAGTGCTCAAGTCGCATTTCACTATTGGTGTGTACAGAGACAGATTTGGAATTGGTTTCGCTGGAGAGAGAAATTTAAATTTTGCCTTGTCGTTGCAGGAGACTTGCGAAATCCACGCTGCTTTTGATCCCTCTGTTTGGAATAAATTTCATCGTGTTTGCTTTCATCCCGGAACAAGTGAAGACAGAGTTACGGCTGATTTTTGACTTAATCCTGGGATCGTTTCAGGTAAAAAAACAAACAAACAAGGTAACACTTTACAATAAGTTACACAAAATGTGCTTACCTACTAGGAAATGCCTCAGGAACGAATCAGGAACAAATCAGGAGCTAATGCGTAGTTAACCAGTATTTGCTGGGGAACATACAGCCAAACCTTGTTACGGGACTACTGGTTAGTTACCTTGTAAATGAAGAGGAACTAATCAAGAACTAATGGGTAGTTATTAAGAAAATCAAAGAAGAACGAATCAGGAGCTAATGAGTAGTTAACCAGTACTTAATGGGGAACACACAGCCAAACCTTATTAGGGGACTACTGGTTTGTTACCACAGAAACAGAGGAGAAATCCTCCGTTTGGGTTCTGAATAAACCCTGCACCAGTGAGGTCACAGCTCGTAATTATCAAAAACCCTGTTTCCTTGTGATTACTGATTTTATTTGCTTCTTACCACTGATTAGCAATTTCATAATCTTCTACTGGTGTCATCTTAATGTCTGATTATCACTTACTGAGTACCAAATCATTGACTGGCTGTTATTTTGTTCACTGATGTAGTGAACCAAGTACTTACTGAGGAACCAATCATTACTTAATCACTACCTGACCATTACCTACTGTTAGCTCCTTATTCAGTCATCTTTGGTTTCCATGGTAACATTAGTTCTTGATTAGTTCCTCTTAATTTACAAGATAACTAACCAGTAGTCCCCTAATAATAGACTTAATAATGGACTTCAGAAGGAACAAACACACCTACACCCTCCTGAACATAAGATGATCTGTGGTGGAAGTGGTCTCCAACTACAAGTAATTGGGTGTACACTTGAATGACAACCTCAGCTTGAGCAACAACACCACCAGCCTGATCAAGAAAACTCATCAGAGACTTTACTTTCTTAGACGGCTGAGACGAGCTGGTCTGGGAAGGTCAGTCCTCACCTCCTTCTACAGGTGTGCAGTGGAGAGCATCCTGTGCTCCAGCATCGATGTGTGGCATGGAGGCTGCACAGCTGCATGAAGAAAAGCTTTGCAGAGAGTGGTGAAGGCTGCACAGAAGACTGTTGGAGTCAGTCTCCCCACCATCACAGACATCTACACCTCTAGATGCAGGAAGAGGGCCACCTTCATCATAAAGGACCCCACTCACCCTGCACACACACTTTTTGCCCCGCTCCCCTCAGGAAGGAGGTTGAGGAGCATTAAGTGTAGAACCACTAGACTGAGGAACAGCTTCTACCCTGAGGCTGTTAGACTCATGAATCTCTAATTAGAATAATCACTGTGAAAAATCACATCATGTTGCTGCTGATCTGTTTCAATGTTGCTGCTGATCTGTTTCATGTTGATGTGTTCATGCATGCTCATCTGCTCACACAGACTCATGTTCGTTCTGCTGTTCGACGTAATGTTTTTACACTATTAGTGCTTAGAGTATTTTTAATTGATGTTTTTCTTAGTTCATATCTTAGATGTTATTATTGTTTTTCTTTTACATTTTTATTGTTGGATGTAACTGGGACCCTGTGCACATAATTTCGCTCCACCACATGTACCACATGTGGTGCGAAAGACAATAAAGAATCTCTGACTCTGACTTTGACTCTCTGATAAGACTTGGCTGCGTGTTCCCCAGTGGTCAACTACCCGTTAGCTCCTGATTCGTTCCTCTTTGGTTTCCTTAGTAACTACCCATTAGTTCTTGATTATTTCCTCTTGATTTACAAAATAACTAACCAGTAGTCCCCTAATAAGGTTTGGCTGTGGGTTCCCCAGTAAGTACTGGTCAACTTAGCTCCTGATTCGTTCCTGAGGCGTTCCTTAGTAATTGATCAACTTTTGTGTACCTTATTGTAAAGTGTTACCAAAAACAAAACAATTCTAGTAGTGTTTTATTGTTAATAATAGTATGGTTATTGTTTTATACCCAATTACATTATTATAGAGGCAATTTTACAGAAGTTGAGGCTCTTTATTATTAGCATCCTGTCGCAAAGACACAGTTTGCTCGTTTTTCTTATCTAAATGGATAAAAGAGCTCCAGATAGCACAGTTTGACACAGCAAATAGTATTTTCGCACCAAAAGGTCGATTCTTGATGAGCTGTCGGTTGAAGGGCGATGCCTCTCTCAAGCCTGTCCTAGATTTTTATTTATTTATTTATTTATTTATTTTAACCCCATAATTTTCAGACACTCTTCATCTGCTGAAGGTAGTTTTTGTTCAGCTGGACACTTCCTCTTGTCTCCTCTCCCACTTATTCGCTTTTCTCATTTTTTTAAGTACACACTGGTTCAAAGACTGGGCCAAAATAAAAAGAATAAAAATAGCTAAAGAAAAACAACGGAGAACCTCCACTCAAGACCACTTTAGAAGATTACAAGACAGTCTGGCTCCTTGGAAGCAAAATATAAAGAAATCAGAGTTTCAAACTTTTGCACAGTACTTTTTATTTATACATGTGTATCAGAGCTGTATGGGTGAATGAGTTTAACTTATCGTTTGTAATGGAAAGAGCAGGTGTGTTATATTTAAAGTTGCTAACAGTTGTAAAGACAAAATGTGACATGTTATGGCCCCTTCATCTGTGCGTTTCTTTCTCTTTAGGGCTTCGTGGTTGCAGTCCTTTACTGCTTCCTGAACGCTGAGGTGGGTGATGTAAACATTGCTTGTATATACACAGTTTGACTGCCGTGCAGCTGCAAACTGCTGCTTTAGCTTCTCATTCCTAAGTGCAACATTTATATTCATAGACCGTCCTGTAAAGTAGATGGAACTTAAAGCAGGAGCCCTCGTTTCTCCCTCTGACTTATTCTCTGCGGTCTGTCTGCCAGGCGGGACGGCTTTAGTGTAAAAGGAGCCGTCTCTTTGGCAGAGGGGTGTCTGCGGAGACTTTGTGGAGAGATTATTTATGTTCTCAGAGCTGAGCCGGATCGAATCATTTGACTCTACGCTGCCTGAATTGTAATCTGGTGAAACTTTCAGATGTCCTCATTTAAGCTTCAAGCCTTCTAGTTGTGAGGTTTTATTAGATTTTTTTAATCAATGAAACCTCGAGAACGGCACTTAAGTAATTACTCTACGCTGGCTAAGGCCGCACATTAAATGTAATGATGATCAATCTATTATAGCAACAAAGAACAATTTAAGCTATATATTCTGATGTTTATCAGGTACTATGTCAAAACCAATGTTGTGAAATAAAATGTACGTAAAATTCCAACTAAAGTAAATTAACTCCACTTTACTCTGCAAAAGACAAAATGCTGAACAGGGACTTGAAATGTGATATTTTAAATTTTCTCCATGCAGAAAATTTCTCGAACTGGACTGCCATGCACGTAAAGCTTCATGATATTATCACATTTCAAACAAAAGAAGGAAAGCAGCGCATAAACAAGCAGCACTCACTGTGGCAAAGCCCAACCCTTTGAAATACGCACGGCTTTAAAACTCGCTGCAGCCGGGAGCAACAGACTTCAATGCTTTTTTTAAATTATTTAAAACTAAACTATTTAGATATTTAAAAAAAAAAAAGTATTTTGCTGTATTTCATTTTTAAATCACAAAGATTCATATCAAATGCTAAAATCAAGAATTAGATTTTTTCCTCAAATATTATAGTACTTGATTATGTACCGTATTTTTCGAACTATAAGGCTCACTGTCGATTTTTGAGAAAATTAAAGGATTTTAACTGCGACTTATATGCGACTATATGTCTATAATGTTAAAATAAAGGTAGAAAACAGGTTTTTAATCTCTGCATTGTTTCAGACAAAACGAGGCAAATGTAACATTTCTCTTCACTTGCCTTATTTATGTTTTATTTGTTTTAGTCCACATTATATTTGACCTCATAACTCAATGTTCAGTTGACGCAATAAATGAAAATCAAACTTTCTTTGTACAAATGTAGTATCTATTGTTGATTATGGAAATAATAAGGAAGAAACGCAACAGTTTCATTGTTTTTCTTTTCTAAAATGGATTTCCAAAGATCGCACCACATCTGCACACTTTTTTTTTATTATTGTAAACTTTTATTTTTGTGAAGTATTACTCAGGAGGCTATGCCACGGTAATTTTCCAATCAGCAACAGCAATAAAAAAAAAAAAAGAAGTAAAGTTTGAAAATATTCAAATTAAAGTTAGTTAAATTTGCATTTTGCAAACTTTTAAGTTTGCAGCATTTTAGAATTCCAGTTTTTGTTTATAACAACATGAATGAATTTCACATTTGAATATGAACATAAGCTGTCCATTTAAATACAAAAATAAATTAATAAATCAATACATAGTATTATAAATGATCATTTGTATTATATAGCATATACCCTACCCCTCGCCCGTCTCAGAGCTCTGACAGACAGTCTGTGTCACTGGCCTCGTGCAGCGATGTCAGCTGCAGTCAGAGAGGAGAACCACCCTACCTTCATACTGCAAATGAATCGTGCATGTGCAAAGATAACGTTCATCTCACGTCACCAATATTAGTTTTATTTTCAAATCTCTTTTTATCCATTTTGCTTATTTTTGTCATGCACAGAAGATATTAAACTCTTATGTAGTAGAGGTGCACAGTACCAGATTCAAGTTTTCTAGCTAATTTCCATCTACAGTCCCTAAAAATAAGTTTAAATGCTAAGTTTGATGTGACATTAAACAATATGTGACAAAATTGATTTAAGGCATGTGGGTCTGTGCAAAGAATTTGTCATGGAACTATTTCATAAAGTTCATTTGAAATGCACATATAAGGTTGTTTTTACTCACTTTTTGTCCCTCTGTTTATATTTACCTCTTCTACAGCCTAGATCACAATTAAATTGAAATTAACAAATACGCAAATTAGGTGATGGTGTCATTTAGCAACTTTTAGAATAGCATTCCTTACCCAGAAGTTGGCAACAGTGATGGTTTTGTCCAGACTGATTGGGACTTTATTGCATAATCACATTCTTCACTCCGGTGTTTGCTTGTAGGTGCAAGCAGAGGTCAAAAGGAAGTGGCGGAGGTGGCACCTGCAGAGGTACATGGGCTCAGATACCAAATACCAACACCCATCCATCGGCAGCAGCAACACCTTCAGCACCCAGATCACCATGTTGACACGCTGCAGTCCCAAAGCACGGCATGGTTCGTCCTCCTGTCCAGATGACTTGTCTTGTATATGACTCACAAAATCCAAGACATACAAGCTGTTCAAAATGCTTTTGTGCCAAACATCTGTCACACAGACCCAACGTATGGGAGCTCTTGAATGAAAAAAATCTTCTCTCCGTCATCAGCATAAGTTGTGTTGTAAACAAAGAAGAGTAAATCTGCTTCCAGAAAGCTCCTGCTCTCCATTCTTAAAGAAACGTTTGCGTGAATAAACTCTCATGAATTGCATCAGAGTCATTTTGCACATTCGAACAATGAATATTTTTTACTAGACTTTCACATTTGAGCACATTTTGAACACAGGTTTATTTTGTATTTACTGTATTGTTATGGATCATTTACTAAATTGTTTTTTGGGTCCCTGTGTGCTCAGGCGCAGGGAAAAGTGACATGTCGCCTATTAATGTGGTTAAACAAGGCATCTAAATGTGAACTGCATCTGCAGACACTCAATAGCACGTAATAATGAACTGATTAAAAGTCACTTAGAGCCCTCAAGCTCCAAATGAACAAAGCTAGAACCATTAGAGATAAACACATGTTTTTTTAACAGTGTGTTTTATTATGTATGCTTTTTACAGTGCAAAGCCACAAACAGGCAAAGAAAAGAGTTATTACATTTTTGGTTGTGTTTAAGTTCAGACTGTGAGTGTTGATGGAAAATGTTATAAAACTTAGAAAGCCACTAAAAAAAAACAACTAAGACTGATGCAGAATTTCCACAACATTTAAAGTAGGGATGCACAATATTGGATTTTTGGCCGATATCCGATATGCTAATATGTTAAAACTTATTTGGCCGATAACTGATACCAATACCAATATTTTTTCCCCTAGACCTACTTACAGAGACTACATAACTTTCTCTACTGTGGAATTAAAATACTACTTTATTCTGCATAGTCTTTGTCAATTTGGTCTGCTACCAAATGCAGAAGCCTAAAAGGGGCTGAAAATGATGTAACACTATATAAATATCTAATATATATATACAGTATATATAAAAACCAGCACCTTTTATATCGGTGAGTTGTTTTGATGGAATGACCGATGTCCGATATTTAACTTTATTGCTAATATCGTCCGATACCGATACTATGCCGATAATATCATGCATCCCTAATTTAAAGCTTCAGAAAAGAATGAGTGTAAATCTGATTGGTTTGGAACCTAAATGCCCTTTTCTGCACTAATTTAGTTTCATTTATTTATGTAAAAGGACAATGCACATTAATCAATATTCCATGAATATAAATGTGATGGAATTAGCACGAGCTAAATTTCATCCATTGTCCTGAGCAGTTAAAAAAAATAAACAATTCATTAAACAAGTGCACAAAACAAATGCAAGAATCGAATAAAAACAATCCATAAAAAGAAAACACCCAAACATCACACTGTAAAGTACACAGTTAAAAGACCTAGTGTATACGTTGCATACAAGTAAGATCTGAGTCAAACAAAATACCACATCAAGTCTCTTTCTGTTCACATGAACACTTGGTCTTAGTCTTTTTGCTGGTGTGAACAAAAACCCCATACAGTTGTTTTTAAGATGTAAGCATGAATGTAAGCAGGTAGCTGCAGCTTAAACATCAGCTGCTTCCTGTGCTGTCTTAGCATGTGTATACAATACAGTAGCATCCGCATAAAACTGAACTTTAACACGTAAACATCCATTTGGTATGTCATTAACATAAAGACTAAAATTAATAGACCCTAATACAGACCTTTGGGGGACCCCAGAGGTGCAGTCAAGATAAAGCGAGACTGAATCATCAATCTGTACAGCCCAAACTCTTTTAGAAACATGAGTTCATCTAGTAGATGGCCTTGTTGGAAAAATTAAAACTAGAGGGCTTTGATAAGTGATACAGTCAAAAGCTAGTTTTAGATCTAAAACGACAGCTCCAACACAACCCAGCTTGTCTAGCAAGTTTTTGATATCCTCTAAGAAAAAACAGATGACTGTTTTAGTTGAATGATGTTTGCGAAAACCAGACTGCTTATGGTAGAGAGACGTAGCATGTACATTAAGCAATCTTTGAAATTAGAGACAAATTGGTCCATAATTTTCTAATTGGGTTTTATTGCCAGCAGCACAGTGGCGCAACTGGTAGAGCTGCTGCCTCTCAGCGAGCAGGTCCCTGGTTCAAACCCCGGTCCAGGGGCCTTTCTGGGTGGAGTTTGCATGTTCTCTCCGTACATGCGTGGGTTTTCTCCGGGTGCTCCAGTTTCCTCCCACAGACCAAAAACATGCATGTTAGGCTGATTGGTAACTCTAAATTGTCCCTAGGTGTGAGTGAGAGAGTGAATGGTTGTTTGTCTCGTTTGTCTCTATGTGGCCCTGTGATGGACTTGCGTCCCCCCCCCCCCCCCCCCCGCCCCTCGCACAGTGATTGCTGGACATGGGCACCAGCGACCCCCGTGACCCAAAATGGAATAAGCGGGTAAAGATAATGGATGGATGGATGGTTTTATTGCCAGCCTTAAACACTGGGGTTATTTATTTCAACTGTCTTCCAAAGTGTTGGAACGATTGACTGCTTTATAGATAACTTTATCAAATGGGTAACTGGGATTGCAAAAACCTCTTATTATTATTATTTTTAATTATTGTCAAGACCAAACACATTAGCTTTGGAAATCTTAAAGGAAGACTTAATTTTAATAGCATCAGTAGTAGTAATGTGTCTTATGTGAAAGACAGGTTTGCTTTCATCAATGGGTTTAAAGGAATTTTAGCTCCTCAACTGAACTGATTCTTTTAGTCCTGGTAACATCCTAATCGAAACACTCATCTTTCTTTCAGCACAACCTTTCCTCTTTGTGTTATTCTAAATACATGACTAGGGTTGTGGTTTTTATGATTTCATCCATTGGTTTTGTTGACATTTTACTGACAGGTGCCTGATGTTAGTGTTAAGTGACACTTTTCAGTGTTGGCTTCACCGGCTGTTGGTCTGTGGAGTGACTCTAGAGAGGATATATATACTCTTTACGTCACTTAGCCCTTGAATGTTTACTTTTTCTTGGGCAAACTAATACATTTTGTACAAACATGTGTACAGTGTATTTACATTGGTTTAGTTTAGGTTTTTGTACCATAAGGATTGCACTGTAGTTGCAATAACACAAATGAGTCTATTTCAGCGCATGTTGATTATACAAAATACGTACATAAGTGTGTTCATGGCTGTGATTTGTAAGAGTAAAATCTGAGGCAGCTCCCTCAGATTTCTAAAACACGAGAGTACTCACACAGGGGAGCAGCCCTGATGAGGCTCAGGCAGACTAACATGAGCTTGAACTCCATTATTAAAAACATTTAGTGAAATCTGCTCGGACCTGTCAGGTTCAGAACTTTTACTTTAAAGTTTAAAGCCAACAAGTCAGCAAAGTAAGGTGATGGGGATGGCCCTGTCACATTTAAGCTTTGGATCTGCTTCTCAGCCCACTTAGCTTACACTCATACAAGCAGAAATATCCAGAAGTTTCAGGGTTGTTAGAGTTATGACTAAAAGTAACATCACTATGCAATAATAGTGAACTGTAATGGTCCTTATGAAGTATAATTTGTCAGTGTCTGAACCTTAATCTATTTTTGTCAGATGCAACTGGTGTGTTTTGCTTAAACCATCTGGACTTCTTTTCTTTGGATATGAAATATTTCAGCACTCATCCACAACACTTTGTGTGAGGATTTTTAAGGCTTGGAAGAAGTTGTGGGGACATAAAGCTGTTAAAATTAAAAGTCACTGACACGCCAACTCAGGCAATAGGTCAGGGTGTCGTCAACAAATTGGGTCAGCCATCTCGCAGGTGAGTAGTTTGCCATATTCAAAACTGTTGGAGAAAAAGGTTCTCTCTTTATCCCACTTATTCAAAAGGAGCCACACGATGCTAGGAGACAACCAGTATTTTACTTGCACTCAGGTTACACAAATAAACAGATCACTGTGTCAGACTGCATTTGATTTATTAATATCTTAATATATTTCAAAAAAAGTAGAATCAAATGACGAGCCAGATTTGGCCCGCAGGTCGCAAATGATTGATCACCTTAATAACTGTTTGTCACTTATTACTTTCCCAACATTTGAAATGATTTGGGCCACATGTGTTCAGGTGTGAAGCTTCCCTAAGCCATTGATCGTAGAAACACCGGACGGTTGTAGGAAGTTAGAAATTGAAACCAGAAGCGTCCCCAACGGTTGGTCCCAGTAAATGTTTTAAATTCAAGTAAGAAAACAGGGCATTGCCTTTTAAAAAAATATGCCACAGATATTCAGACGTTGACTTTTCTTGAGTCACACAGTTTTTGCTGAATGTGTAGCTGTTAGGAATTGTTAAAAAAAAAAGGCAGATGTAACACTAATTGTGATGGGGGAGGTTGGACTTAAAAAAGCCGACTCTGGTTCCAAACATAGAACAGCTGTTCCCATTAGCCAGGTCCTGCTAGCTTCAGCTCAACAAAAGGAGGCGTGGATACTTCCAAAGTATTAAAATGTGTTGGTTTAACCAGGAAAAGGGTGCACGCTCACAAAAATAATGAAATTACAATTTTTAAGATTTACAGTGTGGGAAATTATAAATGTGATGGCAAGCCATGAAAAGGCCACTTTTCTCAACTCTTTTAAGGGTTAAACATTTAAGTCACTGAAGTTAAATATATAGAAAATAGTTGTGAAAGTCAATACTACTTGTGATGACCTCATGTCAGGACTAACATTTGTTCAGGCTTGGCCCAAATAACATTTTTTCCTATGTGACAGAGTGTGTCAGGGTTTTACTCAAGATAAACTGTCCCATGAAGGGGGAAAAAAAACAAAAAACTCCATCTATAAAAAAAAGTCCTGAGATTTTCATTTGTTACCCTTCATAAGATTAAAAATGGCTCAGTTGAGCAAACAAGCTAACATCTGACAAGATTGGGTTTTAAGATTCATACACGACACCAGACAATAGGAATGGTTTAACAGATTTATTGAAATATTTCTTCTGGAGGTCT